GGCCATGGATGTACGGCCATGGAGTGTACGGTCGTACACTCATGGTAAAATATGCACAAGAGGGTGTTTTGAACCATGGGGAAGCTTGTAGGTCTATTGCTCATCAAGAATATGAACTAAGATCTCACTTTGGAGGCCCTTTTGGGGTGTTTTGAGGGGTGTACGGCCATGCAAGGGTGTACGGCCGTACACTCCTTTTGTCCCAGCTAAAAGGTCGTTTCTAAGGTGTTTAGCAAGATTTCCTAACGTATACTATGCATAGGGAAAGAATACTTACGATTTGGAGGCTCAAAGAGGGTTCACGGCCACCAAGAACAAGTGTGTGTTCTTGGTGTTCTTGGTGAAAGATGAAGATCTTGAAGATCTACCCAAAAAGATGATTTCGATGGATGAAATCAATGGGTGATACATGATTAAGAAGGATAACAACAACTAGAAGGAAGAAACACTTACGTTTTTGAAGATCTAGGATGAAGAACTCGATGATACTTGAGAGAGAATCGATTTTCTGGACTTGGGAATGTGAGAAATGGCTAGAAATGAAGGGAATGCCCTACATATGGGGGTGGTGTACGGCCAACATGGGTGTACGGCCGTACACTCATGTGTACGGCCGTATACTCCCTTGGATGGAGTGTTCGACTCGATTTCAACGCGAAGAACTTTAGCAACTCAATCCTATACCCAATGCTTGAATGTACTGCGCTTTGAACCCTTAAACAAACTCTAAACAATGCTAAAAGATAGCAGAAACGGATCTGACACTCGGTTGAGTTGAATGGCTGGACTTTACAAGGCAAAAATTTTTGGGTTGTCACATTTATCGATTCTCCTAAACTGATGAAAAGAAACTATACTCGTAGAAGGAAACTTGAACTACATAAGGAAACCATAATCAACTATAGAAATACTAAATAATAAAAGATATTAGAATAATTATAATGTACTAGCAACCTTTGTTGAGTTTTTGGCTTTTGTGCCTTTGGTAGACCCGATCCCACTTATCTCATTCAGTTCATATCACTTCTTGCTGCTAATTAATTAATAACCGGTTGTTGGGTTCCTTATCTTTCCACAATCATCTTCAACCATCCTCTTAGCAAGCCTTATTGTTCACCATCGCTGCTATTCTGCTAAGCTGCCACCATCGTCACTCTTTTCATGACAACTGCTCATGGATCTTTGTGGTCGTATATATGTTGGTTTAGTTTATCGGATGGGACATTGTTTTTGTTGTCTTTTCAATTACAATTGTATTTGTAATTCTTTCACTGTTTGCTTATTGTTTCTTATTTTTTCTACAATTTTAAATAGATTGGTTTAGATTTTATTGAATATTCAAGAATCAAGACGATGATGTATTGTAGAAGGTGACAAAAAATAGAACACTGTGATCAAAATCAGTGACATGAAGATGAAGATGGAACAAGGTTTGATCTAGTTATTATGATTTTTTAATAAAAAAAAAACAAAAAGGATCGTGTCAGTTGGAGCATGAAACGTGGTTTGTTTCACCTCAAAAGCCGAAAATGTAGCATTTTCATGTATTAGTTTGAACTCATGGAGTACCCTTTTAACATTGCTTCTTGATCAGTTCCACTTCTTACCTAAAAACTTGTTTTTTTTTTGTTTTTTTGTTTTTTTGTTTTTTGTTTTGTTTTTTTTGTTTTTTTCATACTTATTTGTCTAGATAAATAATATTGTTAAGATATATGAGAACAAAACAACACGTTTGGAAATTGAAGGAAAATATAAATAAGGGCAAATAATTAAAAAAAAAAAAGAAGAAGAAGAAGAAAGAAAACCTTAATGTGAAGACCTTATTTTCTTGACTTTCTCTATTAAGCATTTCTATATAATTTTTTTTTTAAAAAGAAACATTCATATATAGCTCACTAGTATAGAAGTATATCTTGTCCCTTTAAGTCCATTTAATAAAAATGAAAAACCAACTTACTTTAATACTATATTTTTAATGTTTTTTTTCCTTGTTAAGATTAGGCACGAGTTAGTTGTTGACCACTAGGGATGCTACGAATTTTTCTAGAGACCAAATTTAGGACAAAAGGTTGATCTATATGTACATATTTGGTACCGTTTCATTTCGGTTTTGGGATCGGTAGAATCAGTTTTAGGACCATTTAGGACCAAATTTAAAAAACAAATTACAAGGCAATAATATAAACCCTTCATAACGGAATCTCATCATCATCAATGATCACATAAGCGTTTCTTCAACCAATGTACCATCCACTAAACAATGACATTACAAACTCTTCATAAAAAACAAATTATATGAATCGTCTTTCGTGCAGATGTTGAAAAGCACGTTCAACCTTATTTTTAAATATTAACTCGGACCGTTCATCGTGTCGTTAAAAGTTGTACGGTTCATCCCTCGTTAGTTTTAATTTACATGTTTCATCCATTTTGATACATAAAAAAAAACTATAATGCCATTTTTATTTTATTTTTTTCAATTATTTTGAACATTTTTGATATTTTTAATTATTAAAAATTATTTTAATTAATTTTTACTTTGTTGGATAAGACGTACCACCACCACCACCACCGATATTCTACACCACCATCGGAAAACGAAGTACCATCGCCACCCCTCACCGGGAAAATGAAGCACCAACGTCACCCCTCACTTCACCACACCCACTAATTTGTTCAAAGTTCACATGTTTCATCGAAAATAACCACAAACCACTACCTCATTCACCGGAGCAACAACATATATTCAAACCACCATCGAACTAGGCACATTTACTGTTAACACCACCAGACTCTGTTCGAAAACCCACCAGCAAATCACGAAAGAAGAATCAGAGCATGGCAATGTTTAATTCGATATCAACAAAGGATTTAGGGTTCTTAAATTGGAAGCAGACCTGATTCGGTGAACCTGTAACTCTGATTTGATACCGAGGGAGATGACAAGATGGGGTAGTAAATCTGCACTTCATTCGACCGGTGAGCCACCAACGCCACCTGTGAGCCGTCATCGCCACCAGCACGCTTCCATCGTCGCATCATCTAGGGTTCACATCATCGTCACATCCGTATAGGAGGACCTTCGATGGACAAGATTTGGGTTCGATCTGAACCTGCTTCTCCGATCTGAATCTCCCTCTTCTTCGATCATGTGTGATGGACTTGTGCCCTGGTCAGATGGAATGGTTTCAGTGAGGACAGAAGAAAAAAGAGAAGGGAGTAGGAAGGGTGGGTTGGGGTGTTGCGGGTGAGGGTTTGATAGAATCGTCGGAGGTGTCTGGAGTGGCCAGAGTTGTCCTGAAGTCGTCGGAGTCGGCAGTGATGTATTGGTGGAGAGGACTGAAGAAGAAATGGGGGAGAGAGACGACATGCTTAGGGTTTAAGGCATGTTTCGTTTTATTAAAGGCAATAAATAATTATTTTTAAAATAAACAAACCACTAATTAATTAATAAATAGAAAATAAATCAAAAACGAAATAAATAAGGGTAAAATTGTCTTTTTATGTCTAGAGGGATGAAACATGCAAGTTTTAAAGTAACGAGATGATGGTGTGAGTTAATTTTTGAAAATATGAATCGAACGTGCCTTTTAAAACCTACACGAGAGATTAAACTTATTTGAAGAACAAATTAGGTTTTATTTATTTTTATTTATTTATTTTTAGTTTTTAGGGTTAGTAGGTATCGATTTCAGTAGGATAAAGAAGAAAGGAACCGATTTAAAAAAATAAAAAAGAGAAAAACAATTCATATAACTTAGGAATTGATTTGATTAGTAGTTCAAAAAAATCTAAAGTGACTATAAAGCTTTCGGTTCAGGTTTTGTAATTTCATGAAATATTTTGGAATTGAAGTGATAGGATCGTATCATATACATGTAATCGATTAGGTTTTGATACAGTTCATTTTTGGTTTTTTGTTTAGGTTGCTCATCAATAGCTAAGATTTTCATTGAGACGTGATAATTCACATACTAGGATGGTTTACAATTTGTATTCACAGATATGGTATTTTTATGTTCTTTCAAATATTTCATTCCAAAATATGCATATAAATTGTTATTATTTTTTTAATTCAACAAATTCTATTACGGACTTAGTACGAGGAAGTTCGTAACTCGATTATGGGATATGAGACAAAATGTCTATACCAAAGTATGGATTACATTTTGCTATTTGGGAAAGGGAAAGTGTGAAATGTTTTAACATATTTTAACATATTCGTACAAAGTTTCTCAAATAGGGTGTATGATGTATAAGACATTAGAGCATTTCAATCATCAACTTAATTTATAGTTTTGTTGTTTTGTCGTATTTTCTTTACATTAATTTTATAAAACAAAATGTTATTAGCTTAAATCATTTTTGATCATTGACTACTTTTAAAAGCTTTTTTTTTTGAATAAAATTAACCAATTTTCCTCATCTTTATGAAATATGTTAAGAATTCCCTTAACATAATTTGTTAATTTTAAACATTTATAATATTTATAAAATTAAAATGAATAACTGAATACATGAAATTAAAACATTATATCACAATACATGAAATTATATAAAAACTAAGAAATGTGGAGTCCATATTTTGCTTTTATACAACACATAACATTTGATGATATACTAGTTATCCGCCGTTTATTTGTTTTGTTGATACACAAGTTGTTCTGTAATGCCCGTGTTTCTGGGCTAATCATTAAAGACGATATAATAGTTTAGGTCAACTATTATAACGTGTTTTGAAGTAATAAGAATGAATTATGTGAATTTATGTGTTTTATACTTAATTATTATGATATAATAAATTAAGGATAAAAATAAGTTTCGAAAGTAAAATGTTAGATATAGCCGATATCTATGAAGAAAGTTGTAGTGGTTGAAATAAGGATTCTGGAGATATAAAGAATACTGAAATCCGAGTTATAACGAAAAAGTTATCACCTGTCGAAGTTTCGCGACAGAACCAGCACGACGCTGTGTGACGTAAAAAGTGAATTTACGATAAAGTGATTTTTAGCATTAGTGATCTAAACGAATGTCGTAGTGTTCGTTAAACCGAGAGTGTGCATAAAAGGAATGCCCAAATCTGACTTCGTATGAGAAAGTTTTGATTTTTCTAAGTTTCGGCTTAGCAGTATGCAGCCCGAAACTCGAACTTTAGATCAAGTGATTTTTAGCCGAAACAACCTAAACGAAATCGAAGATCTTGTTGATAGTAGTTCAACGGTAAAAAGACAGATGAAAACGGACGTCGGATGAAAAAGTTATGAATTTTTAACGAACTTTTCCTGTCCCAGCCTATTAAAAATATAACTTTAAAAATAAAGTCAAAATTAGCCGACGGAGTCTAAGAGAAAGTTGTAGAGCATAATTTCACCTACGCATGGATATAAAGAACGTCAAAAACGGAGTTCGTATGCGAAAGTTACGAATTTTTGAAGTTCTGGGCACAAACTTCAAGACTGGTCCGAAGGAATACGCCCAGCGTACTCGTGTAAGTGATCTGGAGTCCGTCACCCCCCCCCCCCTACTCCTTCGCATGAGATACACGTGTCGTAGCCTTGACGCGTCCGAGCTGATCCACTTCGTACGCCCAGCGTACAAAGTTACGCCCAACGAAGAGATTTGCAAGGCAGTACGCCCCGCGTACCGAAGAATTACGCCTGGCATAATTAGGTGCTTTGGTCCCCTATAAATAGGATGTGAGGCTGCCCGATTTTGTTTAGAAAATTTTACTTCTTTCACCCTTCTACTCTCTTCCAAGCTACACTAAAACCCCCCAAGCCTATAATATCATCCTAGCATCGTAAGCAAGCCCCGGAGAGCCCGAAGATCCCGAGAAAAGAGTTTTTCGAGACGAAACTCTTCCCGCGTGAAGCCCGGTTTTTAAGAAAACATCCCGGTTTCATTGAAAAAGATTATATTAAGGGACGAAGTGCTTCCCAACCGCCGTCTTATCAAGTAAGTGTATAGTCACTTTCATCTTACACATAGATATGAAGTATTTTATATAAAATACGTGCTATGTGTATATATGATGTTTGTTTATTTGAAATGGATGTTGAATGGATGTTTTATACAGGTTTTAAACTGTATATGTATTCTTATCTACAAATATGTTGAGTATAACATGAGTAGATGAATTAGTTGATATGTGATGAAACAAAATGATGAGAGGTCTCGATGTTGACGATGTTCCAGTCATCTAGCGGAATATAGATGACGACCACGGACTTTTCTAGACAGTCCAGTGGAACGCTAACAGGCTCGTAACATGTAGATATTTTTCGAGAGTATGGATTAGACTTAGTCAATTGTCCTTAGTCCGAGAGTATGGACATGACATAGTTATTTGTTATTAATCTGGGAGTATGGATTAAGACATAAGTTATTTGTTATTAATCCGGGAGAATGGATTAAGACATAAGTTATTTGTTATTAATCCGGGAGTATGGATTAAGATATAGTTATTTCTTATTAATATGGGAGTATCGATTGAGACATAGTTAATTGTCCCTAGTCCGAGAGTATGGAATGGGCACAGTTATTGATCCGAGAGTATGGATCAGATATACCCGATCTGGGAGTATGAATTAGGTAAAGAGGTAAATTTTAGATCCGGTGTTTTTGAACTATGTGTTCATCAGGTACTTTTGAACTAAGTGTTCACTAGGTGTTCATTAAGTATTTTTGAACTGAGTGTTTACCAGATGTTTTAAACTACGTGTTCATCAGTTGTAATTTAAGAACCCTGGCAGTGATGGACTTCATGCCTATTCCTTAAGACAATCCTTAGGAATGAATGAATGAAGGACAGATGGTTCTTAAGATCTTTAAGAATAAAGAAGATAACGGGAACGGGTAATCAGGGTTATTGTTGATTGATGAAATTAATAAATTTATTATTGGTTGATGAAATTAATAAATTTATTGTTGGTTGATGAAAATTAATAAATTTATTTATTGTGGGTTGAAAACCATATATGCTCACCGGACTCCCAAGCCTAACCCACTCACCTTTTTATATTACAGGTTGTGGACCCAGAGCATAGTTGGATGATGACGAGAGATTTTTGGATTATATGTCAGTAGATGTAAATAGCTGTTGTAAGGCTTATAATTAGGGCTGGCACTTCTCGACACGACCCGCGACACGACACGAAATAAATTGGTTTGAGTTGAGTTTTTCAACCCGCCAACCCGCTAACCCGTCAACCCACCAAACCGTTTATTAAACGGGTCATATATGGGTTTCTAAAAAATAAACGGGTTGACCCGCCAACCCGTTTATATTTTTAATAAAAAAAATTATTTTATTTTTAAATGTATTTATGTATCAAGTATTATGATTTAATAAGTATTATATAATATATACCATTGATTCATAGACCATTTGACTGTTTTAACATTTTGACGTGTGCTTCTCAAAATCAAATTGCGTATGAGCGTATCTCCCTCTTCCAGACTTCTAGTGTCCCGGTCTCCCACAGTCCCACTCTCCCCTCTATTACTCTGTGATCAAAATCAGGTATCGAAATGGTGTTGGAGAATTGACTTTGTTTTTTGGGAGAAGAAAATGGGAATTGTGGCTATTACTTTAGCACTTGAATTATCTATGTTTGTATTAATGTTTAGTTTGAACATGTTTCTATGAATGTTTTTAATTTTCATTTGGATGTTTAAGACTTAAGTATCTAAAATTCAGATATGTTTGCATCAACCATCAAGAATTTATTCATGTTTAATTGTCAATTTTATTTATGGAATCTGACCCACGAACCCGCCAACCTGTGAACCCGTATAAATAAATGGGTTGGCGAGTCATATATGAGTTTATGTTCCAAACCCGCCAACCCGTGACCTGTATATTTAAACGGGTCGTGTTTGGGTTGACATATTTTGACCCGCCAACCCGCGACACGCCAACCCGAACACGACACGATTGACAAGCCTACTTATAATGTACTGTTTATGCTTTTGGTCTGTATCGGAACATGACATCCCGAAATTTTGTTATATAATGAAAATACATTTCTTTAAGAAATGCTTTGATAAATTTTTATCATATTTTGTTTTGAGGACAATTTCCGCAACATCTTTTGGAAGATTACTCTGATTTTATTCTAAAATAAACTAAATCGGTCTTTTCTGGCCGAGAAATTTGGGGATGTCACATGTTCGTTGCACAACATTTGATGATACACAATTTGCTCGATAACATCGCCGAACATAGTTAGAGAAAAAAAGATATGAGATAGTATTGCGAGGCTATAAGTTATTTTGACATATAGTAACACCAAAAAAATATCTTTCTCCCTGGTCTTCTCCGCTAACAACCAGTGCTGCAACCCGAGCGGTGACAAAAAGAGCTTC